AGGATTACTTACAGTGATGTTAAAGGTATTTGTAGTGGGTTTCTGTGGCTGGGTTTTGGTGGTAGGAGGGGCTACAGGGGTGGCTTCTATTAGAAGCTGCCAGAAGCTTCCTCTGTCTCTGGTGGAGCCAATGCCAGATAGCTCCAGGACGGACTTCCTGCCACTGGCCAGGGCCAAGCCAATTAGTAGTAATAGTAACGCCTCTGTGATAACATATTTAAGAAAAGAAGGTTGTGGTGCAGAAGGAATTCCAGCCAGGGAAGAGAGGAGAGAGAACATGGGAACAACACCAAGGTCAGTGCAGAAGGAGGGGCAGGAGCTGCTCCAAGTGCCGGAGCTGAGGCCCTGCAGCCCCTGGTGCAGACCGTGGTGGGGCAGCTGTGCCCCTGCAGCCCATGGGGGACCATCGGGGTGCAGAGACCCACCTGCAGCCCATGGAGGAGCCCAAGATGGAGCAGGATCCTGCCAGAGATCTGCAGCCTGTGGAGAGGGAGCTGAAGCAGGTTTTCCCCAGGTAGGACTTGTGGCCCCTGTAGGCGACCCATGCTGGTACAGCTCGTTCACAAAGGACTGCACTCCATGGAGGAGTGACCCACCAGACAACAGTTTGGGAAGAACTGCTGCCCAAGGGATGGATTCACACTGGTGAAGTCCATCAAGGACTGTCTCCTATGGGAGGAACCCCATGGGAGAAGGGGAAGGACTCCTTTCTCTGAGCAGCATCAGAAACAACTGACTATAACATCCATTCACCATCACCCTGCACGCTGTGGGGGAGAAGGGAGAACATGGAAGGAAGGAGGGGTGGGGGGAAAGTGTTTTTAGGACTATTTTATTTCTCAGTCTATGGCTCTTATCCTGTTAGTAATAAATTTAAGTACTATCTCCACTTTGAGTCTGTTTTGACCATGATGGTGATCAGTAAGTGACCTCTCTCAGCTGTTGTCTCAACTCATGAATCCTTAGCTGTTTTCTTTCTCTCTCCTCTGTCCAGTGAGCAGGCCTTGGGCTGCTCAACATTTATCAGTCTCCTTCTCAGATTCTTGAGGGACAACTTCTGCATCTGCAGATTTGGCTTGTGTCTCGGGTCCACTCATGATAAGGTTTCATCAAACGTGCTGGAACCCAGCAGGGTCGTGTGGGAGACAAAACACAAGCATTCCCCTTTCCCATACTAACAACTCGATAGGACCTTGCCATTAAGTATCTTTTTATGGATTTTGGTATAATATGTATTGAAAAATTAATTTTAAAAATTAAATTAAAAAAATTAAGGAAAAATACAGCTTTACCTACTTGGCATGTCACCCTTTTCTGTTTTAAGAGTATGGCTTTATTACAGAGTATACATTTCTTCCACCTGGGATTAAATGAAGGATTTTGTTTTGTTTTGTTTTAGTTTTTATGTTTTGGTAATTTTTTGTCTCCTTTTTTCTTATTTTTCTCTTTTCTTCTTTTTTTTTCTTTTTCTTTTTTCTCCTTTTTTTTTTTTTTTTTTTTTTTTTTTTTTTTTTTTTTTTTTTTTTTTTTTTTTTTTTTTTTTTTTTTTTTTTTTTTTTTTTTTTTTTTTTTTTTTTTTTTTTTTTTTTTTTTTTTTTTTTTTTTTTTTTTTTTTTTTTTTTTTTTTTTTCTTTCTTACATTGTTTTCTATCAGTTATATTTTCAAGGAAGATTTAAACACATATACAAACAATCACCATGTACATATCTTAGGACAACAAATAATCTAGCATTGCTCTAGTTTCATGAGGATTCCCAAAATCACAAACACTGAGACACAAAGGGTGTAAGCAAAGTAACTTTATCCCATTACTCGCAATAGCAATTAATACATACTGACCTCCTGAATTTCTGAAAAGCCACTGAGCCAGATAAGGAGATAGAACGTGGTGCTCAGTGAGAGGGCAGGCAAGCAATGCACCTTGCAGGGCGTTCCCTGGATTAAAGCAGTGTGCGTGGTGTCTTGCCTTCCGTCGAACCCAGAACCACTTCTTATATCCCCCCCTACAGGAGTGGAATTTTCCAGTTGTGACATCAGCTCACACGTGGCCAGTGCGTGAACTGAGGCCACAATGGCTTAGGATACCAACTTCATGCCAATAACGGCTGTTATTTCTTTTCTGAAAGTCAAGTTCTGAATAGTAAAATAATACAATATTTTCCCACAACACATGGACGAGCACAGCCATGGATCAACTGTAGCAGGTTTTCAGACACGATTCATGTCCCTAATGCAGGCATAAATCAATCAAATACTCTGAAGTTTTACCTTTTTTTTTTCCATCAACTTTAATATTGTTCTTAACCTTTTTTAAAATCTTGACTATGGTGTGTGTGTGAGGGCACCTAATTGTACACAAGTACCTAGGACTAGGTGTTTGTTAATTTACAGCACAAAACATACTGTATAAATAACTTCCCTTTTTAAAGTTACGAAGAACAAAGTTATAGACACCTAAATTCTCAAACAAATTCAAGGGTTCCAATGCTGTGTCCATTCTTTAGATGATTTATGCATCCAACATTCTCTCTCTCAAAGTACTTAGCCAAGGTTGATCCTCCCTTTTGATTCCGATTAACTAAATGCAGGTGCAGAGTAACTCAGCTTGTTCACACATCCTCCTTCTGTGCTGTGAAAGGTGACTGTAGGTATCACAATGTGGGATGTGCATGTGTGCTTATCTCCAGGAGATGTGCTTGGCATTGTGTGTCTTGCCTGATGCAGTGCCTATTGTACATTTGGCCTGTTTGTCAGGGAAGGGATCTTGTATAAGGCGTTGTGCCCTTAACAACATTTTGTTGGAAAGGTTGAGGCACATTTTCCCATAGATACCACTGTGTGGAAAACAGAATTTACCTTTTTGGGACTATACACAGAACTGACTTATGCAAAGTAGAGAGGTGATAGGGCTTACTTTAATTCAAGTCCCTGCAGGCTTGACATTTGCTTATATGGCTAGAAGAGAAGTTCAGAATTTCTACTTTGGTGAGAACTGGTTGGATCAGGTCAGACATCTAATTGTTTGCTAGTTTGTCTTGATCAGTAAGTCTGCCTAAGAGGTTTATTGTCTTTATTTATTTTACTTTCCAAATTTTCCTGTCAATGATATAGTTTACCATGTAACCTATCAAAGAGTGATTTTAATGCCATAGAGAGTATTGTACATTGTAGATAGGAAATAGCTATATGGAAACCAGAGAGGGCAGTTAACTCCTTAGAACAGAAGGTAATCAGATGTTATGGATACAGAACTAATCTAAAAATTAAAAAAAAATAAATCACAAATTCTGAATGTATACATATCAAGATAATATCAACCATGATTTGTCCATAATATTTCCACTACAGAATAAGCTAACCTCTAATAGTCATATGAGGTTAAAGTAATTAAATCATTTTGTAAGTGTGAAAATGAAAATTGAGACAAGAAATTGTGGTGGGTTGACCTTGGCTGGCTGCCAGTGAGCTGTTCTCTCATTTCCCCTCCTCAACAGAACAGAGGACAAAATAAGATAGAAAAATTATACGTCAAGATAAATGCAGGAATAATACTTACTTTGCCACTGTGAGCAAAACAGGCTGAGCTTGGGAAATATTTTTTTTTTCAATTAAAAGTAAAATATGATAGTGAGAAACAAAAAGAAAACTAAAACCACCTCTCTCCCATCTAGCCTTATTCCCAGGCTCAGTGTCACTACACTCTCAACTCCTGTACTTCCTCCACTCCCCAAATGGTTGAGAGGGATAGGAGTGGGGACTGTGATGAGTTCATAACAGCTCTTCATAACAGCCACTTCTTCCTCCTCACACTGTTTCACTGGTCTGACCTACAATACCCTTCACAAACTACTCTAAAATGGGTCCTCTCCACAGGGTATAGTCCTTGAGGAACGGTGTGCTCCATTATGGGTCTCCCATAGGGCACATCTCCTGCCAGAAAATCTGCTCCTGCATGGGCCCCTGCTTTCTTCAGGAAATATCTGCTCCAGTGTGACTCTCCATTGGCTACAAAGGGAAGCCTGCCTCACTAGGGTCTTCTCCAGGGGCTGCAGGAGAAGCTCTGCTTAGGGACCTGGAGCAGCTCTGCCCCACTCTTTACCAGTGGTGTCTGTCACAGAGGCCATCCCTGCAGCCCCCTGCTTGCAGCCCCCTCGATGTATAAACTCAGTAGAGCAACGAACTGCCTATTATTTCCAAAGACCTGTTGTGGGACAAAAAAAAAAAAAAAAAAAGGAAACCCCAGAGTCTTTAGTGTAATAGTAACACAAACCAAAAACTTTATATATAAATGTAAAATGAAGTCAATTACCAAAATACTTCTATATATAATGTTTTGCACTCTTCATATTTGTACAAATGCAAATGGTCATTCTGTAATTAACCAAAATTATTTGAACACAATATGAAGCAGTAGAGTATGGTGTGCCATATGGCTGGTCTAATGATAAGCCTAATCTTTAATCCTGTGTTAAAAAGTAAAATTTTGGTTACATGTCTTTCTTAATTTCTCCAGATTTTAATGACTTGTGAAAATGTTAATTAAAATAATTACAAAAGCCAAAAATTGTCAATTATCATCATATATGTGCATAAGAATTTCTGTGTATAATTACTATATGTATTTTGCAACTCAGTGTTCATTTTCCAAGCCACAAAATGTAATTTTTATTCTAGTATCCTGCAGAGAACACACAATAAAAAATACAAATTAAAAAAAAATCAAAATTTTAAAAAAAATAAACAAAACAAAACCAAAAAAAAAAGAAAACCACCACAGAAGTTATTCTTGATGTGAGAGCCTTTGGACTAGTTTTGAAAAAGGAAATCAATACAAACACTGTCACTCAAACTACTTTATCCTTTTGAGGAAAATGACAGTAAGCTGTGGTAGAAATGCTGCATCTTATTTAGCAGAGAAAAAAATTGCATGTACATAATTATAGATTGTGTTTATTGCAGGATACCAGAAGTGGCACAAATGATAAACACTTCCGTTAAAACTACTGAGGCATATTGTGATTTCATTTGTCCCATATGGCTTGCCCAGAGAGATCATTTTAGATAAAGAGTTTTCATATTTTCCTGCAGAATTTCCAGCTTTCCTGAAGAAAAAAAAGTGAGAAAATGCACTAGATCAGATATTTGTTACCCAATTCGAAATGGATTAGCAGAATGCTTTGCGTAAACACTAAAAAAGGCAGTTTTAAAAATGGCAGTAAACTCTTGCAGCAACATATTGTAAACTTTATTTTGTTGTGAAGCTCAGCATCAAGCAGCCACATGAACTCCTACAGAGTAATTTCTTATAATGAAATAAAACAAACTTTACCTACCAGGGCAAGATATAACTAATGAAAAATAAGCCATCCCCACATTGATTTATAAAAGAGACTTCAAAAATAATACATCCTGGGTTTTATTAATACACAAGATGAAACCTCTCAAGAAGAATTTGGTCAAGGAATAAAGAGCTCTTGGCCTATAGCTTCAACTGCGTTCTTATTGGATTTTGAACAACTGAATCATCTGACAAATTAAATTTTTTCCATTTAGTGGGTGCAATTATCTTCTGGGTTAGAAAAATCATGTGAAATTCCAGTGAAAGGAAAAGAAAATAAAAGAAACACAGAACAATAAGTGATACAAAACTTTTCCTGTGCTACACATTTAGAAAGTCTATGAAATGTGTTTTTTTCCTTTCTGTGTGTTTTTGTTTCCTTGTTTTGTTTGGTTGTTTTTGGTTTTGTTTATTTGAGTTTTACTTGTGGTGTTGCTGGTTTGTTTTTCTGAAGTATTTTCAAAAGTAACTTTTTTTCAACTTCACCAAAGTACACAGAGTGCCCTTAAAAGCAATGAAATAGGTACCAAAACCAGAAGTGTCATCTTAGCTGCATAACTATATAGATGACACAAGTTGTCTACCAAATATATCTGTAGTAAATTTAATTTATCCAGGACATAAAGGTTCAAACACATATGCTCCAAAGTAATTTTCAAGGGTTTGGATTCTTAGCATCTCCACTGGACTTACCTACATTTCCACTCAGCTTCTACAAGCCCATCAAGCCTATGAGCCTCAGCTGCATCAGCAAATTATATATACCTGGAAAATGTAATGGGAGGTGACCCAGATCATCTTTCTTTGTGTCAGTCATTCAAAATACTGAGATACAGCCACTGCTTGATTTATTCCAGAAATCACGTAACAGTGGACTGTTAGTTGTCAATATGGTAGACAAAATACTTAAGTGGGTTTTGTCTCTTCTTTGTTGGATCTCCTGGGCTAGAAGTTTTTCAGGTACATGCTGAAGAATCTGTCATCCTTTTCTGGCCTTCAAAGTTTTCTCATATGGACACAGTCCTTTCCAGATAGCAATCCTGACCTGGGCTCTCATTGCCAAGTTTTCCTTTATTATTTTTTTCCTCTAAGAAATCTTATCAGACTTCCTAACATCAGTTCGTATCAGTGGTTGGAGGCACGAAATATAATACATTTGTATTTATCCTGTCAACATCTCCAAACAGTTGTGTTGCAGCAGCGCTTATCATTATGAGGGTGGGGTTGATAGTGTAGATGACACTCCATTCCTTTTACAGACAATAACTCAAGAGAACTGTCCTGAAAGGCATTATACACAAGATTGCTTTCCAAATTCTACTGACTAGACTATCTACATTGGGGGCTTGATGGACATACCTGCAACCTGCTATCTGCTTTGATTGCAAAAGGCAGCTGAACAACAAATATAAGAAGGAGTAAAGTGCAGAGAAGGGCTAGGCTGTTTTTGCTGTGAGAGGTGAGTGTTTTCAGGATATTTTACATTCATGTGTTTCAGGTCTGATCTGCATAGAGATAAATATCATAATGCAGTTTTGATGACATAATAGTGATATTTCTGTAACTAAACTGTGGGAGGCTGTGAAGGAAAGGTAGGGAAA